GTGGAGGTGCCATGACGTCATTTTTGGTAGTAGGGGTGGAGGTGCCATGACGTCATTTTAGGTAGTAGGGGTGGAGGTTCCATGACGTCATTTTAGGTAGTAGGGGTGGAGGTGCCATGACGTCATTTTAGGTAGTAGGGGTGGAGGTGCCATGACGTCATTTTAGGTAGTAGGGGTGGAGGTGCCATGACGTCATTTTTGGTAGTAGGGGTGGAGGTGCCATGACGTCATTTTTGGTAGTAGGGTGGAGGTGCCATGACGTCATTTTAGGTAGTAGGGGTGGAGGTGCCATGACGTCATTTTAGGTAGTAGGGTGGAGGTGCCATGACGTCATTTTTGGTAGTAGGGGTGGAGGTGCCATGACGTCATTTTAGGTAGTAGGGGTGGAGGTGCCATGACGTCATTTTAGGTAGTAGGGGTGGAGGTGCCATGACGTCATTTTAGGTAGTAGGGGTGGAGGTGCCATGACGTCATTTTTGGTAGTAGGGGTGGAGGTGCCATGACGTCATTTTTGGTAGTAGGGGTGGAGGTGCCATGACGTCATTTTAGGTAGTAGGGGTGGAGGTGCCATGACGTCATTTTAGGTAGTAGGGGTGGAGGTGCCATGACGTCATTTTTGGTAGTAGGGGTGGAGGTGCCATGACGTCATTTTTGGTAGTAGGGGTGGAGGTGCCATGACGTCATTTTAGGTAGTAGGGGTGGAGGTGCCATGACGTCATTTTAGGTAGTAGGGTGGAGGTGCCATGACGTCATTTTTGGTAGTAGGGGTGGAGGTGCCATGACGTCATTTTAGGTAGTAGGGTGGAGGTGCCATGACGTCATTTTTGGTAGTAGGGGTGGAGGTGCCATGACGTCATTTTTGGTAGTAGGGGTGGAGGTGCCATGACGTCATTTTAGGTAGTAGGGTGGAGGTGCCATGACGTCATTTTAGGTAGTAGGGTGGAGGTGCCATGACGTCATTTTTGGTAGTAGGGGTGGAGGTGCCATGACGTCATTTTAGGTAGTAGGGGTGGAGGTGCCATGACGTCATTTTTGGTAGTAGGGGTGGAGGTGCCATGACGTCATTTTAGGTAGTAGGGGTGGAGGTGCCATGACGTCATTTTAGGTAGTAGGGGTGGAGGTGCCATGACGTCATTTTAGGTAGTAGGGTGGAGGTGCCATGACGTCATTTTTGGTAGTAGGGGTGGAGGTGCCATGACGTCATTTTAGGTAGTAGGGGTGGAGGTGCCATGACGTCATTTTAGGTAGTAGGGTGGAGGTGCCATGACGTCATTTTAGGTAGTGGGGGTGGAGGTGCCATGACGTCATTTTAGGTAGTAGGGGTGGAGGTGCCATGACGTCATTTTAGGTAGTAGGGGTGGAGGTGCCATGACGTCATTTTAGGTAGTAGGGGTGGAGGTGCCATGACGTCATTTTTGGTAGTAGGGGTGGAGGTGGCATGACGTCATTTTAGGTAGTAGGGGTGGAGGTGCCATGACGTCATTTTTGGTAGTAGGGGTGGAGGTGGCATGACGTCATTTTAGGTAGTAGGGGTGGAGGTTCCATGACGTCATTTTAGGTAGTAGGGGTGGAGGTGCCATGACGTCATTTTTGGTAGTAGGGGTGGAGGTGCCATGACGTCATTTTAGGTAGTGGGGGTGGAGGTGCCATGACGTCATTTTAGGTAGTAGGGGTGGAGGTGCCATGACGTCATTTTAGGTAGTAGGGGTGGAGGTGCCATGACGTCATTTTAGGTAGTAGGGGTGGAGGTGCCATGACGTCATTTTTGGTAGTAGGGGTGGAGGTGGCATGACGTCATTTTAGGTAGTAGGGGTGGAGGTGCCATGACGTCATTTTTGGTAGTAGGGGTGGAGGTGGCATGACGTCATTTTAGGTAGTAGGGGTGGAGGTTCCATGACGTCATTTTAGGTAGTAGGGGTGGAGGTGCCATGACGTCATTTTTGGTAGTAGGGGTGGAGGTGCCATGACGTCATTTTTGGTAGTAGGGGTGGAGGTGCCATGACGTCATTTTTGGTAGTAGGGGTGGAGGTGCCATTGTTGGCTGTATGACGTCACGAATCAATCTTGGTAAGGGGTGAGTCCCAACGTTAATTAGCTTGGAGAGGCCATCTTGGTAAGGGTGAGTCCCAACGTTAATTAGCTTGGAGAGGCCATCTTGGTAAGGGGTGAGTCCCAACGTTAATTAGCTTGCAGAGGCCATCTTGGTAAGGGGTGAGTCCCAATGTTAATTAGCTTGAAGAGGCCATCTTGGTAAGGGGTGAGTCTCAACGTTAATTAGCTTGCAGAGGCCATCTTGGTAAGGGGTGAGTCCCAACGTTAATTAGCTTGAAGAGGCCATCTTGGTAAGGGGTGAGTCTCAACGTTAATTAGCTTGCAGAGGCCATCTTGGTAAGGGGTGAGTCCCAACGTTAATTAGCTTGAAGAGGCCATCTTGGTAAGGGGTGAGTCTCAACGTTAATTAGCTTGCAGAGGCCATCTTGGTAAGGGGTGAGTCCCAACGTTAATTAGCTTGCAGAGGCCATCTTGGTAAGGGGTGAGTCCCAATGTTAATTAGCTTGAAGAGGCCATCTTGGTAAGGGGTGAGTCTCAACGTTAATTAGCTTGCAGAGGCCATCTTGGTAAGGGGTGAGTCCCAACGTTAATTAGCTTGAAGAGGCCATCTTGGTAAGGGGTGAGTCTCAACGTTAATTAGCTTGCAGAGGCCATCTTGGTAAGGGGTGAGTCCCAACGTTAATTAGCTTGGAGAGGCCATCTTGGTAAGGGGTGAGTCCCAATGTTAATTAGCTTGGAGAGGCCATCTTGGTAAGGGTGAGTCCCAACGTTAATTAGCTTGCAGAGGCCATCTTGGTAAGGGGTGAGTCCCAACGTTAATTAGCTTGGAGAGGCCATCTTGGTAAGGGGTGAGTCCCAATGTTAATTAGCTTGGAGAGGCCATCTTGGTAAGGGGTGAGTCCCAATGTTAATTAGCTCGGAGAGGCCATCTTGGTAAGGGTGAGTCCCAACGTTAATTAGCTTCAAGAGGCCATCTTGGCAAGGGGTGAGTCCCAACGTTAATTAGCTTGCAGAGGCCATCTTGGTAAGGGGTGAGTCCCAACGTTAATTAGCTTGGAGAGGCCATCTTGGTAAGGGGTGAGTCCCAATGTTAATTAGCTCGGAGAGGCCATCTTGGTAAGGGGTGAGTCCCAACGTTAATTAGCTTGGAGAGGCCATCTTGGTAAGGGGTGAGTCCCAATGTTAATTAGCTCGGAGAGGCCATCTTGGTAAGGGGTGAGTCCCAACGTTAATTAGCTTGGAGAGGCCATCTTGGTAAGGGGTGAGTCCCAATGTTAATTAGCTCGGAGAGGCCATCTTGGTAAGGGGTGAGTCCCAACGTTAATTAGCTTGCAGAGGCCATCTTGGTAAGGGGTGAGTCCCAACGTTAATTAGCTCGGAGAGGCCATCTTGGTAAGGGGTGAGTCCCAACGTTAATTAGCTTGGAGAGGCCATCTTGGCAAGGGGTGAGTCCCAATGTTAATTAGCTTGCAGAGGCCATCTTGGTAAGGGTGAGTCCCAACGTTAATTAGCTCGGAGAGGCAATCTTGGTAAGGGTGAGTCCCAACGTTAATTAGCTTGGAGAGGCCATCTTGGTAAGGGTGAGTCCCAACGTTAATTAGCTTCGAGAGGCCATCTTGGTAAGGGTGAGTCCCAACGTTAATTAGCTTCGAGAGGCCATCTTGGTAAGGGGTGAGTCCCAACGTTAATTAGCTTCGAGAGGCCATCTTGGTAAGGGGTGAGTCTCAACGTTAATTAGCTCGGAGAGGCCATCTTGGTAAGGGGTGAGTCCCAACGTTAATTAGCTTGGAGAGGCCATCTTGGTAAGGGGTAAATCCCAACGTTAATTAGCTTGGAGAGGCCATCTTGGTAAGGGGTGAGTCCCAATGTTAATTAGCTTGGAGAGGCCATCTTGGTAAGGGGTGAGTCTCAACGTTAATTAGCTTCGAGAGGCCATCTTGGTAAGGGGTGAGTCTCAACGTTAATTAGCTGGGAGAGGCCATCTTGGTAAGGGTGAGTCCCAACGTTAATTAGCTTGGAGAGGCCATCTTGGTAAGGGTGAGTCCCAACGTTAATTAGCTTGGAGAGGCCATCTTGGTAAGGGTGAGTCCCAACGTTAATTAGCTTGCAGAGGCCATCTTGGTAAGGGGTGAGTCCCAACGTTAATTAGCTTGCAGAGGCCATCTTGGTAAGGGGTGAGTCTCAACGTTAATTAGCTTGAAGAGGCCATCTTGGTAAGGGTGAGTCCCAACGTTAATTAGCTTGGAGAGGCCATCTTGGTAAGGGTGAGTCCCAACGTTAATTAGCTTGAAGAGGCCATCTTGGTAAGGGGTGAGTCCCAACGTTAATTAGCTTGAAGAGGCCATCTTGGTAAGGGGTGAGTCCCAACGTTAATTAGCTTGCAGAGGCCATCTTGGTAAGGGGTGAGTCTCAACGTTAATTAGCTTGAAGAGGCCATCTTGGTAAGGGTGAGTCCCAACGTTAATTAGCTTGGAGAGGCCATCTTGGTAAGGGTGAGTCCCAACGTTAATTAGCTTGAAGAGGCCATCTTGGCAAGGGGTGAGTCCCAACGTTAATTAGCTTGCAGAGGCCATCTTGGCAAGGGGTGAGTCCCAACGTTAATTAACTTCAAGAGGCCATCTTGGTAAGGGGTGAGCCTCAACGTTAAACCATCTCTGTGTCAAAGAGCTTCACAGCTTCTCAGATTTAACTCCTCCCGCGGTCTAAATAAACTCTCTGATCCTGTTACTGAGGCCATCTGTGGCAAAGAGCTTCGCAGATTGTCGGATTTAATTAATCCCGCAGCTCCGATTCTGATTGGTCGGCTCCCGCATGGCAACAGCGGGTGCCAGCAGCACTTCCCATTGGCTAGAACGTCTCGACCAATGAGGAGCGAGCTCCGTGACCGAGCAGTTGCCATGGTGATTTTTCCCGCGCTTTTTTTCCCGCGCTTTTTTTTCCCGCGCTTTTCACCTTCCCCTCAGCGACAACCAACGGGCCCCGCCATCTTGAGGCGGTACAATTTAAACGTCGTCGCATTGAGCGAGTGTCACGATACATTTAACAACATTTAACAATTAGTTCGCAGCGCGAGCGAGAGGATAAACATCGATGGTCGTCCTCAAGAGGCGGCCGCGAGTGAGTTTGTGCGGTTTGCAAGACAAGTTGGGCGAAATAACTTTTTAAAAGTTAATTTTCAAATCGACTTAACTTTCGATTTGAAGCTTCTTTCGTGACTGCAGCAGGGATTCATCTTCTCGGTTCTTTCGGTAAAGTCATCACGTAGAAGGGAAATAATAAAAATAATATTATGTTTTATCTTTATTATTTCCATTCTACGCAAATTAACCTTATTCGTGTCTCACGCGCGCGTCTAATAATCCATGTGAGTGGCTGTATACTCCACTCATACGTGTCTCTGTGTGTGTCTGTCTGTGTGTCTATCTGTGTGTGTGTGTATCTGTGTGTGTGTCTATCTGTGTGTGTGTCTATTTATGTGTGTCTGTCTGTGTGTGTTTGTGTGTCTATCTGTGTGTGTGTCTATCTGTGTGTGTCTATCTGTGTGTCTATCTGTGTGTGTGTCTGTGTGTGTGTCTATGTGTGTGTGTGTCTATCTGTGTCTATCTGTGTGTCTATCTGTGTGTGTGTCTATCTGCGTGTGTCTGTCTGTGTCTATATCTGTGTGTGTCTATATCTGTGTGTGTGTGTCTATCTGCGTGTGTCTATCTGTGCGTGTGTCTATCTGTGTGTGTGTCTATCTGTGTGTGTCTATCTGTGTGTGTGTCTATCTGTGTGTGTGTCTATCTGTGTGTGTGTCTATCTGTGTGTCTATCTGTGTGTGTCTATCTGTGTGTGTGTCTATCTGTGTGTCTATCTGTGCGTGTGTCTATCTGTGTGTGTGTCTATCTGTGTGTGTCTATCTGTGTGTGTGTCTATCTGTGTGTGTGTCTATCTGTGTGTGTGTCTATCTGTGTGTGTCTATCTGTGTGTGTGTCTATCTGTGTGTGTGTCTATCTGTGTGTGTGTCTATCTGTGTGTGTGTCTGTCTGTGTGTGTCTATCTGTGTGTCTATCTGTGTGTGTCTATCTGTGTGTCTATCTGTGTATGTCTGTGTGTGTGTCTATCTGTGTGTGTGTATATCTGTGTGTGTCTGTCTGTGTGTCTATCTGCGTGTGTGTCTGTGTGTGTGTCTATCTGTGTGTGTCTGTGTGTCTATCTGTGTGTATGTCTGTCTCACTGTATCTGAGGTGATTGTGGAGCCTCAGATAATGGAGGAAGTAGTCAGACCCTGTGACTGGCTTTACACTCCACTCATACGTGTCTCTGTACGTCTATCTGTGTGTGTGTCTGTCTATCTGTGTGTGTGTCTATCTGTGTGTGTGTGTCTATGTGTGTGTCTGTGTGTGTGTCTGTGTGTGTCTCTGTGTGTCTATCTGTGTCTCTGTGTGTCTGTCCATCTGTGTCTATCAGTGTGTGTCTATCTGTGTGTCTGTCTGTCTCTAAGTGTGTCTATCTGTGTGTGTCTATCTGTGTGTCTATCTGTCTGTACGTCCGTCTATGTTGCACTCCGATCGTCGTTTTTGTCTTGCAAACGTTTGGCCGTGTAACGCGCTCCCTGTCCTGCAGTCGAAATAAATGTGGCGGTGGTGGTGGTGGCATGTGTGTGTGTCTCCTACAGATGCAGAGCTACAGGGCCATACCTGGAGGTGAGCGGTGATGGTGGTGATGGTGGTGGTGATGGTGATGATGGTGGTGATGGTGATGATGGTGGTGATGGTGGTGATGGTGGTGATGGTGGTGATGGTGATGATGGTGGTGGTGATGGTGGTGGTGGTGGTGATGACGATGATGGTGATGATGGTGATGATGATGGTGGTGATGATGATGGTAGTGATGGTGGTGGTGATGGTGGTGATGGTGATGATGGTGGTGATGGTGGTGATGGTGATGATGATGGTGATGATGGTGGTGATGGTGATGATGGTGGTGATGGTGGTGATGACGGTGATGGTGGTGATGGTGATGATGGTGATGATGATGGTAGTGATGGTGGTGATGGTGGTGGTGATGGTGGTGATGGTGATGATGGTGGTGATGGTGGTGATGGTGATGATGATGGTGATGATGGTGGTGATGGTGATGATGGTGGTGATGGTGATGATGGTGATGATGGTGGTGATGATGGTGATGGTGGTGATGGTGATGACGGTGGTGATGATGGTGGTGGTGGTGATGATGGTGGTGATGGTGATGATGGTGGTGATGGTGATGATGGTGGTGATGGTGATGATGGTGGTGATGGTGGTGATGATGGTGGTGGTGATGGTGGTGATGGTGGTGATGATGGTGGTGGTGATGGTGATGATGGTGGTGATGGTGATGATGGTGATGATGGTGGTGATGGTGGTGATGGTGGTGATGATGATGGTGGTGATGATGGTGGTGATGGTGATGGCGGTGGTGGTGATGGTGATGGTGGTGATGGTGATGGTGGTGATGATGGTGATGGTGGTGATGGTGATGGTGGTGATGATGGTGGTGATGGTGATGATGGTGGTGATGGTGATGGTGGTGATGGTGGTGGTGATGGTGGTGGTGGTGATGACGATGATGGTGATGATGATGGTGGTGATGGTGGTGATGATGATGGTGGTGATGATGGTGGTGGTGGTGATGGTGGTGATGGTGATGATGGTGGTGATGGTGGTGATGGTGATGATGGTGATGATGATGGTGATGATGGTGATGATGGTGGTGATGGTGGTGGTGATGGTGATGGCGGTGGTGGTGATGGTGATGGTGGTGATGGTGATGGTGGTGATGATGGTGATGGTGGTGATGGTGATGGTGGTGATGATGGTGGTGATGGTGATGATGGTGGTGATGGTGATGGTGGTGATGGTGGTGGTGATGGTGGTGGTGGTGATGACGATGATGGTGATGATGATGGTGGTGATGGTGGTGATGATGATGGTGGTGATGATGGTGGTGGTGGTGATGGTGGTGATGGTGATGATGGTGATGATGGTGGTGATGGTGGTGATGGTGATGATGGTGATGATGATGGTGATGATGGTGATGATGGTGGTGATGGTGATGATGGTGGTGATGGTGGTGATGATGGTGATGATGATGGTGATGATGGTGGTGATGGTGATGATGGTGGTGATGGTGGTGGTGGTGGTGATGATGATGATGGTGGTGATGGTGGTGATGGTGGTGATGGTGATGATGGTGATGATGATGGTGATGATGGTGGTGATGGTGATGATGGTGGTGATGGTGGTGATGATGGTGATGATGATGGTGATGATGGTGATGATGGTGGTGATGGTGATGATGGTGATGATGATGGTGGTGATGGTGGTGATGGTGATGATGATGGTGGTGGTGATGGGAGCGGTGGGTGTAGTGGTCAGCGCTACGCTGCGCTACGAACCCGGCGACCCGAGTTCGATTCCCACTCACGGCCGACAACACCGGTGACAATTATCTGAACCGGTCCTGGCCCTCCCCTAGGTCGGCTCGGCCTCAAATGAGTAGCTGGTGCGGTGTAGTGTGTAGTAAACGTTGCTAGCACTGGGGAGACAAAGGCGGCCGGGCGTGGTGCTGGCCACCCACCCTCTCGTGTGCCACAGTGCCGGTAGCCTTCATAGGTGCTCGCTAACAGCACTTGCCCCAACAGTCTGTTAAGGCTATAGGGGGGATCTTTGTATTTGGTGGTGGTGGCGGTGGTGGTGGTAGTGGTGGCGGTAGTAGTGGTAGTGGTGGTATTGGTGATAATGGTGGTGATGGTGGCAGGCAAGGCTGTGTTGGCTGGGTAATGTAGCCCGCATGCCTAGCCACCGCATGCCTAAACAGCTTTTGTTCGGCCGGATCGAGGGGGCTAAACGGGCTCGGCACGGGCTAGAGAAGAGATGGAGTGACGTGGTACAGGAGGACGTGGAGCTGAGTGGACTTGCCGTTGACTGGTACCAGCGGTGTCAAGATCGGCCTCTGTGGAGGAGGCTCGTGAAGGACGCTACTGGGCAGTTGGAGGCAATCGCCCTCCAACAACAACGGAGGGCGGAGGAGCGACGCTCACAACAACGAGCGGAGCGCCGGGCGGCTAAAATGCAGCGAGTTGGCACAGTAGGAGGCACAGGTGGTGCATCTACCGGTCATCTCAGTCGACCTGTGGCATCTGCAGGGTCTGTCCCTTGACCACCTCCTCCTGCACCTAGCCTGGCACAGCAGTACAACTCATGGCACCTGCTGGGTCTGTCCCGTGACCTCCTGCCAGAGAGCCTTCGACACTTCACGTGATAGTCTCAAAGTGCACCTAGCCTGGCACAGGCGCCGTGGTGATGTCACCGTCACTTCGTGGCGAATGGCGGGTGTTGGTATTGGTGGTGGTGATGATGGTGTTGACCTGATGATGTTGATGATGGCAATAACGCTGATGATGATGTTGATGTTTGTCCAGTACCCACTTTGGTATACAGATCGCTTGACATCACTGGTGATATTGGTAACGATGGCGATGGTGATGTCGGTGATGGTGGCGGCGATGCCAGTGATGGCAGTGATGACATCATGAACCCAGACCATCACCACGACGGTGATGGTGAAGATGATGGCGATGATGGTGAAGATGATGATGATGATAGTGAAGATGATGATGGTGAAAGTGACGATTCTGAACTTGCTGAGAACGTGGTGAGTTGGGTGATGGTGATGGTGGTGATGTCATCGCCATCACCATCATACTAATGGTTACCATTAGTCCTGTACTGTTTTGATTTGAAGCTTTCGTGACTGCAGGAATCCATTCTCTTTGGTTTTTTTTGCAAAGTCCACGTCGGTCGACTAATAAAATCGAACGAATCGCGACGTTTCGATCGCAACACAAGCAATCTTCATCATGTGGGACAACCACAGCGAGAATATGCTGAAGTAGGCGAGAGCATCCACTCACACACTCACTCACACACCCACTCACACATTCACTCACCCACTCACACACTCACTCACACATTCACTCACTCATCCACCCACACACACCCACTCACACATTCACTCACACGTTCACCCACTCACTCACACGTTCACCCACTCATCCACTCACCCACTCACTCATCCACTCACCACTCACACACCCACTCACACATTCACTCACCCACTCACTCACACGTTCACCCACTCACCCACACACACACCCACTCACACACCCACTCACACATTCACTCACCCACTCAC